GCCAGTAAGTGAAAGCATGTGTCATGAGTCATAACCTGCTACATGTTACCCACCGTTATAGGAACAGGCCTAGCGTGGTGCAGTTCTGAACAAAAAGGAGACGCTCCTACATGCAAAAGTTAGTGATGTCCGCTTCAAACGACGTGTCACCAATCATCGAATAAGCCTGTATACCTCGTCGAAGACACAGCAATAGGCCCTGGTACTCTCTTGTGAAGCCTGCCGGAGGTGGAGAGGGAGGATCGGGGTGGGAACAGAGCCAAGAGGAGACGAAATGGACGTGACCGGGTGTTTTGTTTTTTTTTTTTTTTTTTTTTTTTTTTTTTTTTTTCATCTTCAGCTGTAAATACAAGTCAAAATGGAGAGAATGAAGAAGTCTTTGTTAAACTATTTTTATTGTTCTGAAAAAAATAAAGAAAAAAAAATTAAAGAAGGAACATCAGCGCGTGGACGTGTTTTGTTCTGAGGTTTAAGAGGCGATAAGGAGAAGAATCCTAGACTGGATCGATAGGTGGGAGTGATCCTCAGACGGAGAGGGAAAAAAAAACACCGTACGTGAGAGCTGTGGTAGCTCTAAATAAGAAACAGGACGACAAATAAATAAAAAATAAATGTAGCTCGCACAGATCTTATTGATCGGTCGGTGCTGCTTGAGAAATCACGAGTCTGTCGAAGTCGGATGAGCGACGGAGTCTTTCTGCAGAGAGAAATATTTACCGTAAATGGGACCTGAATGTTAACCGCAGGTATAAAGAAGAGATTTGGAGTCTGAGGAGAAATGTTTCACAGCAGTTGTCGTCCTGGTAAACGTGTCAGACGGGCAGGATGCTGTAGCAGCATTTTAAACCAGCATCACCACATGGAACAGATTTCATTCTTTCAAAACTTGTAAAGGTCAGCATGAGAATTTTACTATAAGATAATCTGGGAGGCAAAAAAAAGGTGTTTATTATTTGTTTTAAGACTCACATAGCTGATTTTATTGGTCTATTTATGGGGCTGAGGTATGCTGACTCTCTCGTTGCTAGTGAGAGCCACAGCTTCCACAACTCGTATCTTTTTATTCAACACCCACCTCCTCATAAATGCCCGTAGCTGTGTCCCAAATCCAGGCTACATAATTATTATATAATTACTTGTACTCTACTCGCTGTGATATTTGGCTGTTATGTTGGTAAAAAAAATATATGAACACACTTGACCATTTTATACGATCAGGAAATTAAACAAAGCGGCTGCAGAGAGCTGCTGCGTGTTCGGATTTACCACCTACATCGATTTAGATTTATTCCAGCTTTGAGCCGTTCCTCCGTTTTAAACAGTCTGTAGGGTGAGTTTTCTGTTATATGTTTTTTTTGTGTCTCAAAGCCAGTTCTGATGACATAAGAGGTTATTTTCTCAGACTTTATTTTCTCCTCCAGAGCCGCAGAAGACACTGCACGGATTGTTTTAAAGGCTATTTTAGATTCCCCTTCAGATACAATGCCATGTTGTTTGCTTTTTAGTCTAGCAGCTCGGTGGAAAGGTTGGAGATCGGAGTGTTGTAA